AGAGTAATTTTCCATAGATTGTATTGATTGATTTCAGGCTTTGAGGGTTTAACTGCCATGTCAGTTTGCCCACTTTAATTTAGCATGTGGATGACTTGTATACAAGTGGGTTTTATCACTCGAAACCCTTCCTAATTAATGATGGACAAAAGAGGCATAGAGAAAACACTCTGGGCAAGCACATTCCCATCCTTTCTATTTCATCCTGGAAAAGCTCTTAAAACTTTTGAGCTTCAATGCCTTATTTGAAAAACTGTTAAATAAATAGATATCGCAGTAGCAACAACAACGGTGCCAAACTAATATATCTGCAATGGAATAATTGGAGTAAGAATAGTTCCAGATGTAAAACAAGAAGAATAAATAGCACTTTGAAAAGTCTTCAGTGGTGTTTTCAGTCTCATCATTTTCTAATGCTGTGATTCAGTTATTAAAGTGTACACGGCTAGGGAGGAAGTCAGATTTTACAGAAGGGAAGAAGAAGGATCAAACCTGGCTGGGATCAAGCAGGGATACAATCATGCTGCCACTGGCGCAGCTTGCAGTGCTGGGCAACACACTGGACACCTCCCTATTTCATTTGTCCATCTGTAAGCTATTAAAACAATTCTCACCACAGCATCCAGGAGAAATCAATCATCTAGACTGAACTGAACCAAATAGCAGTTAAATTCTTGGATGGAGGACATAATAGGAATGCGAATATTTCAGCTTGAAGTGTTATGCTGCCCTCACTGCAGGCTATAGTGGTAATGATGTTAAAAAAAACAAAACAAAACAAAACAAAACAAAAGAAAACCAAAAAAACCCATTCTCCTCCTTTCAGGACTGTAACTTTCAAATGAAGGTGTGCTGCCCCAGCAACTCTGCACCTTGTCCTCCCAGCAACAGCCCAAGGAGCCAGGGCCCAGCATGGAGAGGTCACCCTACAGCACAGTGCCCCTCCTTCTCCATGCTCCCCATGCACTGCCATAGTCACTTGGCTGCACTGCCTTCCAGAGGCTAACCTAAACATCCCATATCTGCCCATACCAACGGATGTTTTTCTTTCCTGTGCACCTTCAGCTGCACAGCTTGCATGCATCCAACACAAAAATAACTGTGTGGCCCAAACACAAAGGACAGCAGCAAATTATGGGATGGTTTCTGTTGTCTTCCCACACCAGCCCTTCTTCAGTGGTGGCCTTGGCATGCAGAAATCATGGCACTTCATCTATCTGTGTGCTCTGCACACTCCTCAGTTTTGCATGTGCCAAAGTTGCTTGTGGAAACTCCCATTAGGCCTGACAATGCTTTCAATTTAATGAATGTTTATGTGACTCTGAGTTGGGAAAGGATGGAAGGAAGTCCAGGCACATTGCTCTAAATAGATCTGTGGGTAACACTTTAGCTACACATTGAACTTAGATTTAGTAGCATCGTTATTGCATGTAATGTTTATTTTATTAGGTTTATTTTATTAGTGTGCCCACAGCAGAATGTAAGCCTTGTCTTTGTCAACTAAAAAGGCACCCCACAAGAGGCTCTGAGTAGAAAAATATGGTGCATTTCATTTTTTCCTTTGGAAAAGCCAAGCAGATGCTGCTGAGTGGATAGTCACAGTAAGTGTGTGTTTTGAATACAGTGCTAAGCTTGAAGCTCAGCTGAGTTAACTTGGTGGGAAGTTGGGTTTAATTTGATCCCGTCTCCGAGTGTTCATAAAATGATGCAATTCAGCTTTAACCAGATGAGCAGTATCATCAAAATATATAATTCAAATCCCACCCCCTCAGCCACGTGGCCAAATTGGAAGAAGTGTCATTTAAGTATCTCCTTCCAGGCCAGGAAAAGATCAGTCACACTTTAAGTGTCTCAAGTAAGGATTTAATTTAGACTTAATAAGACAGCGATTGTACGTTAAATACCATTCGGTTATTAAAACCATATTCATTGAGGTTTTACAGCTATGTCAGGACAATATGCCATAAATGGAAAAACTGCTAACAAGGCAGTTATTGATCCTGACATGTGCTAGATAGGATGCATTTGTATGTTCAATAAAAACAAGATAAACATAGAAGAAGCACCCGTAAGTGTGTTTTTGAAAGTCTCCATGGATCCCCTTATTGAAGAGTCAAATGAGAGTGGAGTTATTCTCACCACTTCTTTAAGAACTGAGGTTTATTAGTCCTACTGAAGGAGAAACTGAGGCACAGAGAGGGTTTCAAAGGCAATTCCTTAGGCTTAGCTAGAAAGTCTTTGTGAGGGTTGAGATTTCAAACTGGCCCTTCTCCTCCTGTGTCTTAACTGCAGGACAAAGCTGGTAGGGAAAGGATAGAGTGGGTCTGAATGAGGGCAATGCTGGTCCCACCTGGCCAAGGACACAAACGTTCCCACATCATACATGATCATACATGAAAAAAAAAAAAAGACATTCAGTAGGGTCTGACGGGGCTGATGGGGCAGCCCTCCACTGAAAAAAGAACATGAGGTCTGGGCAGATCCACAGCATTTTTGTGCCTGACATGAGTGGAGCATGGCAGGTCTTAGAAAAGATAGAGCTTGTGTTAGGGTGCTGGCAGCATCCCTGCCTGCACAATGGTGGGAACAATAGCACAATTGCATCACTGCGTTCCTTTACACACAAATAAATATATCTGTGTGTGAACGTGTATATACAGCACACATATGTATATGAGGACTTTAAGGAGAAACTTTCCCACCGGAGCAAAACTTGGAAGATGAGAGTGTTTATACAAAAACCATTTCCATGGCCAAAAGGTTTCTGTATTCCCCTTGCTGCTATTAGAGACATTTGTGCTTAAATCAGAGCTCCCAGCCCTGCCTCTCCTTCCATCTGAGTCTACACAGATTGCATAATCTTCTGTTTGTGGCATCATCACACGTTGCTATAGAGATAGGGGGAAATGTCTGTGATGATGATGATGTCAAATCACTCAGCCAGAAAACTCCAGTATCAAGACAGAGGAGAAGAGGGTCTGTAAACAGAAGAAAAGTATCACCACCAGTAGTCAGTAAAGAGAAGAGGTAATATTATTTATAGACCTTTAAAGGTAAACAGATGTCAGCTGCAAATGAGCACAACTTGAAAGCTTTCTCCAGTGTGAAAGTCCCCGGCCCTACTCCTGTTTTCAAAGGCTTTGCTTGTATTTCAATTGCTCTTTTATTCATTGGGCTCTATAAATTTGGGAGTTGTTACACTGCTTTTGCCATGGGAGTGTGGCAACATGATAAATGCTCTGTCTGTCTTATCTCATGGCTACATCTGGGGATGGGCTAAGAGTCAAAACTCAGATCCACTACCCATAAGCAATATTTATTGCTCCTATTGAGGGCCAGTATGAGGACTTCAGGCTGGGTTTTGTCCCAGCTTTGAGGTGTCAGGATTTTGCCCTGATGCACAAGCTTAGGAAGTCCCAGCTCTTGGACAGGAGCTCAGATCTACAACTTGCTTTATCTCCCATTTCTGCCTACCTCCAGCTTTTCCTCCTACCCATTCAGTACAATCAAAATATAGATTTTACATGACAGTTGAAGGAAGCTGATCTGAAAGACAAATGTGTTTTACAGTTTTTCTAAATAGGAGAAAGCAGTTGCTTGGTTTCTTTCCGCCCCAGACTGTTTAATTACCAAGCTATCATGGAAAGCCTGCATTGTAATAAAACCCCAATGTGTATCCAGGTACCAGGGGATTTATTAAGTTGCACTCAACACTGGCAATCAGCAGCCAGGGTCAGATGTGTCTGGTGATGATGACATCATCATTTTTGGCAGCTCTTTCCAATGAGTGTTGAGTGAGGTAATATCCCCCAAATTAAAACTGACAGTGGGATTAATAATGATGGATTCCTTGAGCCTTTTCTTTGTGTTTTAAATTGGTGATCTATTTCTTCCATTGGGGGTTGCCAGAAGATCAACATGACATCCACCCAGCATTTCAGCCACCGGTAGCAGTGACTGGGGACAGTGGGAGTGTTATTGAACAAGTAGGTTAGTTCAGAATGGTTTCATCATGTGAAGGCACTGGCTGTATTTTCAATGGGAGATGGGCATGTCCCATGCTACCAGACCCACTGCCGACCTGCAGCTCTGGGAGCACAAGTGGAAATAAGTCTCAGAGAGCTGTTTGTCAGCAGCTGGAGGAGAGAGTTCTTATTCCTGATTGCAGCTGGGGGTAGAATGCATCAGAGTGTGTGCTGTTCCAGTTATTATCTCTGGCTGTACACCCCAACAAACTGATGATCAGGATCATTAAGCCTGGAGAACCTTACCTTGCCCACCACACCCATGGATATTTTCAAATTTCAGTTAATAAAAAGAAGATCTAGAGCAGTTTTCAGGTAGTTTCATCTGTCTGGTCTGGGTGGTTTTGCTTATTTGTTTCTGAAGTTTTGCAAAGGAAAGGGAGAGGAAGTGAATCCGAGGCTGCGGCTGTCACACTGTGACTGAGCTCGCTCAGCCAGAGACCTCAGGAGCCACACAGCAGTGCTACGAGTGCAAAGCACACTCTTTGCCAAGCCTGACCCAGAGCAAGCAGCGCTGCACACACCAAGGCACATGGACCTGTGTGTAATTAGATAACATACAAACCTGGCTCTCTTTTCTGCTCAATATAATGTCAGATGGAAAGGCCTTCCTGGGACATCCCTGAAATCTGCCATTCACAGCGATAAGCAACCATGCTGTAACACAAGTTCTCCAAGATACAACAGCCTTGGGACTTTTTGCACAAAAGATCATGCAGGTTTCCACACTCTGGCCCTCACCCCCTTCTCCTCCCACTCTGAGCATTTTGCTTTCTTGAATTCTGCTCTCAGACTCATCTCCTGGCATTTCTCTGTGCTGTTCTTCCTGCCCTGCTCCTACCACTCACTTGCATCCTCCACTGAGACCAAAGCAACAAGCAATAAACATAAGCCTCAGGTTCAAAGCCAGATTTCTTATGCAATTTTTTCCAAGTTCGCCAGAAACAGATTTGAAAAATTAGTGAAGGAAAGTACCTGGGATTTTCCTGTTAATTGTGTTCTGTCACAGCAGCAGATGGAGGTGGCCTGGGTATTCGTGCAGCTTATTGACAAATTAAATCCTCTGGTGGCCATTTGGCACTGGAAGGAAGAAAAAGAAAATACTGAAGCTATGGCTCTCAAATAGCTTGTATTCACATTAAATAGTGCTTACTGCTGCTAATAGTCACCTAGCTCAGATAAAATCCAGCTCACAGCCGCATTACTCTGCCTGAGCACAAACTACAGACTTGTGCACTTACATGCTGCAAAAGCATTATTTTTTCTTTGTGCTTTGGTGGGTGGGATGGTGCACGGAACAGTGCTGCCTGAATGCTCTCATGAAAAATGCAGAACCTGCAGGACCTGCAGCCCTTGAGTTGTCCCCACCCCTCGCTCTGTATTGACAGCAGAGACGTAACTGCCTCTGTATTGCTAAGTCAAAATGAAGACATGGAAATCTGCAATAATGATGGAGGAAATGAGCAAAGTTTTGGTCATTGTTTAATTTGTTAAGAGAACAACCCCACCTAGGGCTCTTTCTGCCAACTCTGACAAAGTGGCCAAAGATAAAGACAAATAGGCCTCAGAGATGAAGCACAGCTGTTAAACTAACAGCGCAGGGGGAAAAAAAGGCACAGTAATTTAATTAGTATCCATGCCCTTTCCATGTTTCTCCCTGCAATGTTATTGGTGAGGAATACAGTCTGAGATTTTAATTTTCCCCATACAGATGTGGCCCTTAAAGAGTCTACCAATAACCTTGTAGAACTCAATTTCTCTAATGATGATGAAGTGCTTTAGTTAATTAAACCTCACAGCATTTCTGAAAGCATCAAATGAAAGAATGCAATAGCCTTAGCTCAGAACGTATCCCTTCCAGAAAAATGCTTGTGGGTTCCACACAGCATCTCTCCCACACACTCTGTTCATATCGGTTGCAAAGGAACCTCAAGGGGAGATTACACACAAACTGACACAGAAAATGGGTTGGAACTGTTTCTACTGAGATTTTATAGAGAAAGAAAAAAATAGCCCTCTTACCAAAGCTAAAACGTATTGCAAAAATTATGTTGATTTTGCCTGAAGTTTCTACAGAAATGATAGTAAGTTCAGGATGTGACTTGCTGGTCACACTCAGAGAAAGGGAGGACGTACTATCAGTCCAGATCCTGATCTGAAGTCTGAATTTTATGCTGCAAACAACTTGGAAACAGTTCTCTTTGTGTCAGCACAAAAAAATTTCAAAATTGCAAAATGTGGTCACCAGACACAGTTGTAGTTTTAACATCAAGCTCTATCATCAGGCAAGTTTGGATCTGCTTTATGTTTCCCTTTCAGGTAGTGGAGTCAATAGTACAAGCAATTATAACAATAATGTCTCCAGTCAAAATCTATCCTTCATGTGGCTGTGTACATATAATTTGGCAGATTTTGCGTGCATTTCAATCCACAGTAGATTCACAAAATTTTCTACTTGTGCTTTGCTCTACTCCTCATCTTTTTACTATGAACTCTGAAATTTTTTCATCTGCAATGCAACCCTTTGCCAAGGCTACCATTGAGTGGTTCGGGCATGGTGCTGGGCCTGAGGATGCCAGATTGGTTTGCAGCGAGCAGATCAGCCTGTCGTTTTGTATTTGACTTGTGCAGACTCTGATTCAACAAATTCTTCCAGTCTCTGCTTCACTCTCAGGTTCTGTCTGTGAGTTGGGAGGGACGCTGAAAGGCCATCTGGTCCAACTCCCCTGCAATGAACAGGGACACCCACAGCTCCATCAGGTGCTCAGAACCCCTCCAGCCTGAGCTTGGCTGTCTCCAAGCACAGGGCATCCACCACTCAGCTGACAAGCTGGAGCCTCTCTGCCAAACTTTAGCTCTTGTGTAGACTTTGCTAGATTTAAAAACACAGCGAGCAAGAGCTCGTCTGGGATAAAGAAGGTTAATAGTGCCACGTTAATACTGATAGCCAGGATTCGTACAACCTACTTGGAACATAACAAATAAGCAAAGCCTATCTCCACATCAGATACCAGCTTTGCTCATTCTCATTGTGGATTCTGTGGTGGTTTCCTTAACTCTGAAAACCACTAATTTAATGTACAGTACAGTCATTCTATGTGGGGGGAAAGAGAAATTCTTTCTTCCTTCCTGTTGGAAAGCTCCTTGGCAGTAATGCTTGGATTGTTTTCTTTGTAAATTATATTCATGCTGTTTTCAAGATGTTTTCCTGACTTTATTGAAATTTGACCAATTTAACGAGTAATGTAGAACTTGTTTCCATGTTAAAAAACTCTCAGAGCTGCTTGGGAATAATTATTAAAACTTCCATGTGTGCAGCAAAACCAGTCACTTTTGCAAATAGCAAAAAAAAAAAAAAAAAAAGCAACAAAAAAAACCAACTCAGTAACAGAAGGACATTGCTCTAACAATAGGCAGAGTAATGCAAAACCCAAGGCCACCAGCCTTAGGAGACCAGGGTCTGCGCTGGCTCCGTGCCAGGAACATTACACTCACACCTGGTTTTCATGCCAAATTCCATTGAAAAAAGTCTTTAATCACAGATAGGGGACCAATACAAAGCTCTGAAATCAATGGAGAGGCTTATATGGAATCTGATAGAATCTGAAGCAGGATTCATGCAGTTATGCATACTCATAATATCTTCAACTCCCCTTGAACGAGTGCTTGGGGGTATAAAGGAGCTGTGGCTTGCTGTTATCTGATGCAGATATACACAAAGAGCAGCTGCATAATCATGACCAACATGACAACTATGTTCAGCCCAGGAAGCCAGCAGGCGTCAGGCATCTGCCTGAAGTTCAACACTTACCATTTTGGTGGGGCTTTTTGCTAAATATGGTGACACTATGCCTTCATACAACCATAGAACCATTAAGGTTGGAAAAGACCATTGAGATCATGTAGTCCAAACATCAAACCATCCCCAGCATGCTCGCTAAACCATGTCCCTCAGTGCCACATCCGACCTTTTCTTGAACACCTGCAGGTGCTGTGATTCCACCACCTCCCTGGGCAGCCCGTGCTGGCTGCTCATGTTTAGGAGCAAAGCACCGATGCATTCCCAACATCCCTTGAGCTCAGCTCCAGGCAGAACTGGGTGAAGGCAGCAATGCTGGCACCCGGCAGGCAGGTGGGAGATGTCCTCATTACCATTCAAGCCGAAAGCCAAAGGCAAACCTTGTAAAGGATCAGGAGAGAGGCACTGTGCACGGGTAGTTTACAGAACTGAAATACAGAAGCTGACACTTTTATGACTTTCATAATTTCTGCAGTAAGCCGCGCGTGCCGTGCAGCAGACACAGCTCCCTGGCACCGTGCTGAGACAGGTATGTGTGTGATGGGACAGAGCACAGCCAGGTGAGTGTGAGGTTTGTGAGGGACTCACTGCAAACTTTGGTGCCAGCTTACACAATGAGCCCTCACTGACTGCAAAGAAACCGAAAAGGGCCAGACATCTAAATCAATGGCAAAACCAGAGCGTTTGTGAATTTATGGGCACTCCCTGCTTTTAGCAGCTTCTGTACCATTCGTTGGTGCAACAGGTCTGAGTGAAGCCCTTGTAGCACTTGCATTTCCACAGCATCAATAAAACATCCTGCTGGGTTAGGCTGTGCCACGCTGCAGCAAGCCACGTCACTGGGGTGTCATGCTGCCATGAGCTGGAGCAAGGTCACAGGACCACCTAGATGGGCTGTTGCAGCTGCAATGGAAGCCACTATGGCAAAGCAGAAGCTCTACTCAAAGGGAAGCATCCTGGTTTCATCCTTCCAGAAACTCAGCATGAAGCAGCAACAGTGTGATTGCACCCCATGCATCAGGCTGGAAGAGAGCACTGAGGAAGGCAATGGACCTTTGCTGAGCTCACCCATGGGCTCTTCTTACATCAAAAATGTAGAAAAGGGTATCGAAGCTGAAAAAAGCTGAAAGCAAAACTGTCTTCCATTCAGTAGTAAAATCAAAGAATCACAGAATCACAGAATGGCCAGGGTTGGAAGGGACAAAAAATGACAGCTGCACATGCAGCATGCCCTTAGGAAGGCACTGAGCAGCAAAGAAAAAAGAAAAGAAAAGCTGTTTTCCTTATGGGATTAAAGTGACACACCATATAGTGTGTTTATTAAAACACAGTGCTTTTTTTTATGAATGGCAGTAATAGATAAAGAGAAGGTTATTTATTTACTCTCCTTTTCCCCAGAGGCACAGGACAAGGTGTGGGCTGGAGAACTTTGCCTGCTGCTTCTGCCTGATGAAGCTGAAGTGTATCTGTGTCCGGCTGCTCATTGCCTGTGGCTGAATGGAGGTGGCACACAGGGGATAAGCAAGGCTTAGTTAAGCTTAAGTTATGGGAAAGCTTGAGGAGCACTGCAGAACTCAGCCAGAACCACTACATCTGGCTGTCCTCATTGTCCTACATCCTGAGCATTGAATCAGTGAAACATTGGGAACCCAAACAGTTGTTGGATTTGTCACCTAATGAAAAAGCAAAAGATTTTGTGCTTCATTGCAAGCCGCAATGCACAGCACTGTGTGCAGCTGCTCCTGGTGGTGTCACCGCTCCGGGCCTCGCTGGGAAATTCTCTGCTTGCTCACAAATGAGTCTGCAACATCTCATAGCTTTTAAGAGTGAAGTTTATGAATGCCATAACTAATATTTTCAGCATTCATTCCTCTAAGTGCAATGTGAGCCCTTGAGTTCAGTCCAGATTCACAGAAAAAACTCATGCATAGTAACTTGTTTGGGAAAAAAAACACAACCCTTAACTTCCTACCCTCGAAATAGACAATTATCTTGAATCCTTTTTGGTATTTTGATGTTGCTTTTTTTTGCAAGTAACTTTAGAAATATTATTTGTGTACTTCTGTCTTTCTTTGCCATGTCTGGAGATGAAACCACAACTACATTAAAAAGATTTTCAGAGTTCTCAGATGTTCAAGAATACAGATTTGGGCAGATCACATCATAACCTGAGTCACAGTGAAGTAAAACACAACCATGGCAATGGGTTTTTAATGTTAGAAAGAAGATCCTACCTGCTGCAGCTGAGAAACATCCCTTCTGCATGAGGGAAA